TAGCTATGGAGAGATAATATAACATTAACTAAGAAAAGAATCTTGGGTCGCTGTCAACTGGCAAGGAAGGGACCGTTTAAAAAAATGTACAGAAATTATCTCTCAGAATCCTAATTTGTAATTTATTTATAAGCATGATTTTCACCATTTCACTGACAAGAGACCTGCGAACGTTAAATTGGGATAATGTTAAAGCAGTTATTTCAAATAGATGAAAGTACCAATGGGAAATGTGGTCGGAGAGGGTAGAAGCTCAAAAATCGTTACCTAAAATGGTTCTAGTTTGTGTTAAATCACCAGATCAATTCGAAATTCCACTGAAGAGTTGTTTTTACAGTTTAAATCTAAGTCGCCAGCACAGCTGGAGGAGTACAACAGGCGAAACGTTGGTGACGGTCGAACAGGATTCCGAGTGCAACAGCTTTCCATACGAGATGTTACCATCTACGCCATCCTGCCACGAGGAGTTCGTTTTCCAAAATTTTTTCACTATGCTTATAAGTCTTTAAGAACAACTAAGTTTTCTAGGCCAGGGTCTAATTAAAAATATTCTAACGGAGCCGATTTTTTGCCTTTTTCGACTAATGATCAATAAGATATCGCGCAACCCTTTGAAGAAGTCGGAGAGTTCTGGCATCGAATCATCCCGCTTTATCAGTACTTTTTCTGTTCATAATCATCCTCCTATATAGCTATTCAGTGATTTGTTCATTCATCAACTCATTCATCCAATTCGTCCACTCACCGCCGAGCGATAAGTGATGAAAAATTTTAGTAGGGAAATAAGTCCGCTTGTAAATTATTAAATGTAAAGATAAAAAAATATTCTCAGACGTGTTTGATGTCGATTAATCTCTGTTTATCCCTACAGGTCACAGAGCAGCGATTTATGAACTCTCTCCCCCTTAAACGTTGGCGCTTGCTTACAGCCATAAAATATAATAATACAAAAGAAGGGGTCGGTTACCATTCCAGAAACTGTAGGTAGCGTTTTAGCATGTACCATTGGTGTCTTTCCTGTCGCGTATAAAACTCTTTTAGATTGTGGCTCTACCGTTGTCCTCCTGCTATACCACCTCGTCTTGCTCAGCCTGTATATCCTCTCCTGATCCAACATGCCAATGGTGTACTGCCGTCGGCAAGTGCAGTACTGCAACACAGTGCCCGTCGTCCACCGTAAGATTTTCACTCTTTGCCTTTTTAGGTAATTCCGTGTTGATGTTCATTTTCATGAGACACTCACAAATTCTCTACCTGATCTCTGATTTTTTGAAAGTGTTCGAAAAAGTAAATCTCACAGGTTCCGGAAAAATAGCTTTGTTCCAAATATACACAAAGTTTCCTTGCAGATTTTTTACCAGCGAGTAAAACGCGGTGTAAACATCTAATTAGGATTTATAAGTTTTATGTAATCGCCATTAAGCTGATTAGCTCTACTTGGAAGGGCAAACATATGAGGAAAAACGAAACGTTGGGCGATCCTTGACAGTTTTTAGAGGACTTTAGTTCTTATGAAGTAATCCTACACTAAGACACCTAGCATCCGATGGTTTACGAGCAGAGCAAATTGGCCAAGAGATTTACTTTTTCCAGTTACGTCTCAACACTGGAATTTTGATAGATAGCTAATCTGTAGCGGATGAGTAGTTTCATCTGTATGTTCATTTAAGGTGAACGTCTGTCCTATGAAGAATGGAACGCCGATGCCAACCTCTCTTTCCATCGACGACCTGAAGAACATTTCACTTCCTATTAGCTATCTACCCCAGCCGGATGGATTTGTGAATTTTCTTTTCTAGATAAAAGATTGTCATCTTCAAGCTCGCAGTTAGGCAATTCTTTCCAAATGGAAACCACCAGAGACGGAGCGCTTGAATTTCACTGCGTCTTGGGGTATATACATGTAGTACTGGAATGTTGCATTCACAATGTTTCTTTATCTTAACGAGACGAAATTGTAGTCATCGATTTTTTTTGTTCTGGATTTTCGTAAATGGAAGACAGTTATCACATTAACAACAATGCACATTTTTCGATAATCCGAGTATTTGAGACATGAGAACTCGACAAACATGTGGGAGCGATTTAACGCCGCCGGTTTAAGCGTGTTCATAATTTGGACCCATTTTATCACCTTTTAGATTTAACACCATAAAATATATCAACGAAAAGATTTTCAAGTGTCTAGTGTAAGTGCTGTGATTACCGACATCAAAGGTGTATTCTAGAACGACCGTAAAATAGCAGAGTTTGACTTTTATGTGCTGATGGTAGTTCAGTTCTGCCTTACTATATGCAATTTCAGTCCTACGTATGTCTGTTCGGCATCTCGGCAAGTGCAGCCACATGGACGGAGCACGGTGTCTCCTGTCCTCTGCCGTCGCTCTCGACGTCCCAGATAGAGCCCCTGTTCACAGAGCTTCTTGCTGTCACTACTTCAGTCAGCTCACATCGAATTGTGGAGTACAATTTCACCGTCTACAACTGTGGTGCCTTCACAACGTGAGTCTAAGACTGTGGTTTACTGACACAATTCACGTTAACCAAATTGACCGTCATCGTCCAGCTCGTTCCTACCATAAGCAGAGACATACTTACATTCACTGCCCACACCAATGTCGATTAATCTATGCCTTCGTTAAACAACACTTCTGTCTAATTTTGTTTTTTTTTTTGAAGAGCATGCGCTACTTTTAAGCATGTGAAAAAGAGGTGGCGGGAAATCTAGGTGTTGAACACTTTGTTTCAGCTAGTTCTACCGATCTATGCCGTCAGCAATCATCGTCAACGGGATTAATCTAGGGAGCCCACATTGGCATTGAACCTTTTTTCGAGTTTTGCAAATATCTCAGCAATCTTGTGGTTGTATTTCGCTTAATACTCTAGCATAAAAGTAATAGAAGGCAGAAAATGAAAAGTAAACGTTGTGAGTGGAACAATTTGTTCCTTGCTCCGTGACAAATTCACGTTTGCGTTGTTCAATGTGACATATTTCTTCTGGCTAGTCATACTTTCAAAATAATCAGGAAGAAATTTCCACGATCGACTTTATATTAACGGACCTGATAGAGGGCTTCACTGTTCTTTTGATGAGCAAAGACGTGGTTGTTACGTTATTCTTTGTTTATAAACAAGCAGACATTTCGGCTAATTTCGCCATCCTCAGAGCTTGGAAAGGTTGAGTTGACTGCAACCTACCCAGCCAAACACCTCCACCAGCAAACAGAGAAAGTGCTAAACCAAGATTTCAATAGCAATGAAGAAAAATACCTTCTTCGCTCACTCACCGCTTTCTCTGAGTCTTCCACTGAATATTTCACGTGGAGACTAACCGCACAGAGTTCTTATGGAAGCGTAATGTACCAACGGGAAATGAATCTCTCACATTAAAATATTAGGTGTGAGACCACATATGATTACGAGAGCCAGATTACGTTTCCACTTGAATTCTGTGCGCTGGTCTCCATGTGAAATATTCAGTGGAAGATTCACAGAAAGCGGTGACTGTGCAAATAAGCCGTTTTGTGTTCAGTGTGATTGAAATCTGAGTTTAATGTTTTCTCTGCTTGGTTTTCGAGGTGTTTGGCTGGGTAGATTGCAGTCAACGTGACCTTTCCAGGCTCTGAGGAAGCCGAAAGCAGCCGAAACGTCAGTTCGTTCGTAAATAAAGAATATAGTAACATCCTCGTGTTTGACCACCGAAAGAACAATGAAGTGATCGAGAAGAGTTAAGTCATCATTTTTGTGGAGAGGGATTTTTTAATTACGGACACAAATCAATGCAACCACTTTCCAGTTGCTCTTCGTGTCGTTCCTCGGAGACCGACTGCGACTGGTGCTTAGGACTACAAAAGTGTGTGTCAAGGAGAAAGTGCGCATCTGAGGTATCAGCTTTGAGAAGAATTTTTAACCTGATTTAGCTTGACGTTGTCAGGAACACCTAATTTTGTTCCAGGAGATAGCGTCGGAATGTGTTCACATAGAGCAAACCTCATGGTCGATCGCGATTCCCACCGGTGAATCGCAAGAGATCGTCTTCCCGGTTGCTCATCTGGACAGACTGCCTAGTGAACAGAGCTATTCGTGCAGGGTGGTACTGAATGGGACGACGATATCGTCAAAGGCGCGGTTTAATCAAGTAAGTGATATGGTCAACTCCATGGGTAGGTGAAGAAGTAGAAGGAATTTCTAATTTGCGTGAGTTATCGAGAAAGATGCCGCGACGTTTTCAGAAATCGTTTTCAAGTCCGACGCACTTCAATCGCCCTACCTTCCTTCCTCCTCATTTACCTTTATTTAATTTCCTTCAAATTTTATCCTTGACTTCGTTTAGTTTCCAAGGATTAGTGTTAAAGTCAACAAAGGCCATTATGTGTCACCTGATTCATTCGCCTTCTATTCTCCAAAAGTTGTGTTATTTAGAAAGAAAAAGTTGAAGACAAACCTATAAAATCATGCAAGAAGTATTCTCCATTGTCTGCGCTGAGGATTTTTATAACGTTCTATAAGGGATTATAAGGGTAACATTCTTCACTAATAAAAGACCCTTCATCGATTTACTGGAAGTACTGCTTCAGTTGTTTTCAGTTGATGGTGTAGTGGTGAAGTGCGCTGCTCCCCGGTAAGGACAACAGCGCGTGTTCGTTCCCCACTGCATACACCTGTGGTCCGGAGTTTTGCAAATATCTCAATATCTCAGCATTTCATACGAGTTATAATTCAGTTGTTTTTCTTATATCTCACCACATCTTGGAGCGATGACATCAGACTTATTCGCACTTTATAACCTTAGCGTGTTCACAACAAGGACCATCAATAAACATTTTTCCTGTTGCCACGAAACATTATGACCACCACAGGGTGAGAAAGTGCTTGAGTGCTCTCAGCGCTAAGAAATACTGCCAGTCGCTTAAGTGTGAAGGGTTCTTGGGTTTTCCAAAAGTGACATAACCTCACAAAAATGGATTTACACAACTGTCCAATAGTTGCTTTCATTTTTTGGCTTCCTTTTTCAGTCTTCGGTGAAATGCGAGGCGATGAAGCTGACTTATCCCGAACAACTACCGAATATTACGGTTCCGCTCGAATTCCTTCAAGGAAACCACATCATCGACACCACGAAAAGTATGTTTTCTTTTTTCGATCTTTTATGTGAAAATCCTTCAATGCAACACACATCTCGCTTTCACAAGCACAATCAGATCGTGTAGAAAAAGTCTTATCATCTGCTTCCAATGTTCTTTTATGACGAATCTCTCTGAAACAACTCAGGCATAAAATCTGTGTACTAGTATTCCACCTACTTTGAGATCACCATTCCAGTTTCCATATTCTCGTGCTCACAGTTGGCAACGGACTGCTCGTCTTGCATGTTCGTCTCCTCACTGTGGGCTTGTTCATGGTGCAGCGGGCGATGTGCGCACGACTGCCTTCGACCATCCCATAACTTCGTCTGTGATCACCCACAGATTCTTTCGGTAGGTATGCTCATTTACCTCACTAATGATAAGATCTCCAAAAGGTTGCTTTCGTCGAATAGGTTACTAACAACTTGAAAAGATGTCATACATGTGGTCTTCGATTTGATGACCTTATAATAGATGTACATTAAAATGAATGTTATTTTTCTGCGACTTCTTACTTTTGCTATTTCATTTTGCACCATTTCAGTTTTCGCCGAGCAGTGGACCTGTGGAAGGTGGCACGGAAGTCACGATCATTGGTAGAGATCTTGGCTCCACAATGGATGATGTAAAGGAACGAGTGTTCGTTGCTGGAAGTCGCTGTCCCGTTGTTCACTATGAAATTTCAAGGAAAGTTGTCTGCCGAGTCGAAAAGGTACTTCTATTTGGTGAAGAATATTATAAAGTTCCAAGGAAAGAAGGATTTCAAAGGATCCAATAGAAGTTCAATAGACAAGGAATGATATTGAAATTTTGGTTATGTGAATAAAAACAGCGATTTGTGGTGGGTAATCCAGTTTTCTAGCTCGCGTTGCGTTTTCGTTATATGAGGGAGATTGAGATGACACCAAAGTGAAAGATATGGACAGGAATTATGGCAGAGGGAAGGAAATGAAGCATAATGTTGCAATGAACGAGACAAATAAGTTCAATGACCGAGTAATCTTATTCATACTGTGGAGGTGGAAGAGAAATCCACCGAATTCCAGCATTTTGGAGACTTTTGTTGAGTTGACGCAAGGTTTGCATCAGGCGTTGTTGTTGTCGTGATTCGATGACTTTCGATAACTGACTTTTCGGTGACTTCGCCTTCTTCAGAGCCCTTTTGTTAGGTATGGGACCACCCGTGTGTTGTTCACGTGGCAGTCATAACGACAACAACAACAGTAGTGCCAACCTCGTCTCATCTCAGCAAGGGCAGTTCGTAAGAATACGTATGCGTATATCAATTATTAGTGCCGAGGTTTATAGAAAATCCGTCTTCTGAATCATTACGTCCTAATAATTTTCTGTTAAAATCAGTAGACCGTGAAGTTACGTGATCCAAGAACAGTCACTGAACAAAAGCCAGTTTTTACAGGGCACTTCTGCTGGACCGCTTCGCATCACGGTCGGTAGGACAGGATCTCGAACAGCCGAATCAACTCTTATCTATTCTTTCGTTGAGACGCTTGTCTTTTCCGTGTATCCGTCATTCGCACCAGTTTCTGGAGGAACGAAGGTATTGAGCTAGAACGATTTCTTAAACCATTAATTCCTAGGAGGTCCAGATTCTTTGGAAAATTACAGCAACCCATCCCATAAGATTTTTCTATCAGTACTATTTTTCGAGCGTTGTACCACATAGTTTAACCCCTCTGATAATTTTTTTTATCAGATTATTAGTTTTCCCTCACTTTAATGATATATTTTAAACGTCTCGCATTTAACCACAATTCCATTCGCTGTGCAAGTCTGATATGCTTAAACTTATCGTCGCTGCTATTGCTGTGTCTCAGGCGAGTTCTTCTTTGCAGGTCACCATATACGGACAGAACCTTGATGCCGGTTCAAACGTTGCTGTCGACGTTGGCGGAGTTCCGTGCAAAGATATTGTGGTAAGTACCGAAACGAATTTTCGCTACAGAAAGGCCACTACCGGATTATTTAAAAGGAGTGTTCCGTTTTAAAATTTTAAGTCTTCTTTAGTTTTAACGTGAGAATGTCAATAAGTGATTTTCAACAATAAAAGAAATTTAGTACAGAATTCAATGAAAACTCGTCCTATGGCAGGGTGTTTTCTTAGGAAGGTTTGAAAAAGTTAGCTGAGATACTCACCTAGTGTTTAGATGGTCTTTTTAGCGCAACGCCAGTTCATCGTTCACATGCATTGTGTCGCATGCCACGACTCCATCGAAACTCTCCCAGATTGTCGTCTCCATCGACGACGCAACTATGAGTGTGCCTGATCTGTTCGAATTCCGACCGGATCCAATCGTGTCGTCGGTGTATCCGTTGGTCACCTTCAGGTCCGGTGGACGAATGGTAACCGTTGAGGTGAGGGCTTCTGGCTGATCACCACCACTTCATTGCAGAACTGGCTCTTTAAAACCGAAATTTATGGATAATGGATATAATTACAGAGACATATTATTAATGTTTGTATGAAACTATCCTGAATGAGACACGACGCCCATGCTTTCCTACTAAGTTATTCTAGCTTCGGCTACAATTTTTTCGATACAATAGCTAATGGTCCTTATATGGACTAATCGGTGTTTGACTCGAGGCCTGCCAGTAATTTTTCTGTCCTATCAGAAGAATATTTGCTTGGCCTATAGATGGGGAACATTCCGGAAAAGATGTGCTCGCCTTTTCCAACTCACTCTTTTGTGCTATCCATTTCCTATGATTTCGCATATTTTATCCAATGTTGTTATCGCACTTTGGCGCTCAATCTCACTAAGGCTTCCATCTCTCCGAGCTCTGCAAGTTGGTACTAGACCTATCGGAGAGGATAAAGCTGACTTGATGCACCAATACGCCACCTCAAGTCATTGTGTAACGCAAATAAAAAGGATAAAAGGACAAAGCTGTCGGCGTTGATCAATCCCTGAGAGATGTGCCATGCATTCGACTTCATTAAACATCGTTTTGAGGTGAATGAATGCATATGTGGCCTTTACAATGATTCGTGGTGGCCTACCGATGTATAAAGCCAGTGCTGCTATCCTCCCGACAAGTCTGGTACCAATTTGCCGACCCTGAGGGGATGGAAGGCTTGCTGGACCATGGGCGCGGAGATCGATTCCAAGTGCGTGTCGCAGTGGTGCCTGCAACCACTGCGCCACCTGCGCCCATAATATGCAGCGCAAATGTGCATTCTAAGTGCCATCATTACAATGACTGATGAAGCCAAATGCATAACGCATCCTACAGCGAAGAATCAACGCCATAAGTTTTATCATTTATCCTTTATCTAGTAGCATTATTTTGAGGAAGCGCAGTGTTAAATTAATTTTAATTAACGAAAATTCCACGGTTCTTTTCCTAACAATGGCGGGATACCTGCGTGCTGGACGAATAGTAAGTACTGAAGAGTAACTTCATGTATCTAGGGTTCGAATTTTGACTCAGTGCTGTCGGCGCGGATGTTCTTTGTGTCGTCCACAACTCCTCCGTTCGAGATCGTCTCGAAACTCTCCTCGTGTCAAATCCAGAACGCGACGTTAATGTTCTGCTTCACTCCTGAACTACTTCCTGAACCTCCCTTTCGATCTTCATATACAAAGTGAGAACCGTTTTTTTTCGTCTTTAATTATGAAACCTACTTCCATATCGTTTTTTAGAAGAACTGGGTTTATGAAATGTTAACGAAATGGTGCTGAACAATTGACAGAAGCATTTCGAACAATGGTACTTAGTTTTTCACCTTATTTCCAGGCTTAATTAGTATGGGAATAGGCTGAAGACTAGGCTGTTTTTGTTGACAAAGTCTCTATAACGATTACAGTTTCTTTTTTTGATGTGGTTTTCTGTGAAATCTTATGTGCTTTACTATTTGATATGGATGTTTTCCCGCAAGCTTTCGACTACAAATCCTCGGTATGGAAGCCTAAATTTGCATAGCAAATTTAGTCTTCCAATCCTGAAAATGCGATTTTGTGGATGTTATTAGGCGAAGGGCTGAGATGATTGAAACAGAGGAAAGGCAGGCCTTCAATTCAAATTGACACCTCCATCGAAATGCTAAGAGCGTTTCGCCACTTGAATTTTTACTCTACGGTATTTAGAAACCAAATGTAATGAAGTAGCAGTTATGCGCGAAATCGTACATGTGTCTGAAACGCTTTGCATAGATTTCACGAAGCAATAGAAAAGATCACACGAGTAGGTAGTACTTATTGTTGTTCTCCAACAGCGATTTATACGTGTGATATGCTTACTGTAGATGATCACTACCACGAAAATATCGTAAATCTACCAAACCAGTGGCGACTAGTCTCAACGGCTCCGGATTTCTGTTCCCATTTGCAGATTCCCGTTGGGATTCGCGATGGAGAATGTGACTTCGGTGCGTAATCTCGGCCATCGGATTCAGATGAGAGTAGTGCCAGATCCAGAATTCGTGCCGTTCAAGGGTGAGTCTCACGCAAAGTTTTTGAACTCCAGCTAATAAACTGCTGCTTTACTAGTACTAAAAACAGACTACTCCTAAAAGCACTACTTTTGCAAATACTGATAGATATCGGCGAGCCTGCTGTTTTTCGTCTTTACTAAATTATTTCAAATAACTAGATGTAAATTAAGTCGAGTTCGAGTCGAATTTGAAAGCGGCACATTAGATTGGGACCGACGCTGGTTTATTATCCTATTTAGAAGATAACAGTAAAAGCGAAGGCAATAGCTAATGGCTCGAGCGCGTAAAATTGTAATGGAACGCGTTTTCTTTCAGATATTTAAAAACAGTGGCATGATAGGAAGGAAAGGGGCTTTCCTACAAACCATATGGAGATAGGTTGAAAACTGAATGGTTCTTTTTTCGTTTTCTTTTTCCCTACTTTTATCAGTTCGTCCTTTCGTTCTTCTTGAACGAAAGTGAGATCACTGCCATTTTTCGCCAATATGTGAAATTGATGAAAAGCCTAAACGTCAACCTTTTCCATTCTATGATTCCCGTGCCAGACTCTAAAAGCCTCCGTTAGAAGAAAACCTATAGCGATCACTTCTTCTGAAGTGCGAGTTGCGATAGAGAACATGGAGCAACGTGCACTTCCAGATAGCACACTGCATCTGTTGTGTCTGTCCAGGGTACTCTGCAAGCGATTCACGAATGCTGTGTTATTGCGCATATCAAGGGATTTGGAAAACGCATAACCAGTTTTGAAAGCAGGATTCCGACACCGATTCTTTTGTATAGACCACATCCAAATCGCGTATCATAGAAGTCTCTGAAGTCCTACCTGCTTCTTCTCTTCGCCTCTATCAACTACGAAGAAGCATTTGAAAGCGTCGAAACGAACTGCAGGCCCTTACTGTATATTAACTCTAGCTGACTGCTATTGGAAAAAAAAATCTCACGAAAATACAGCCTTTTCATGGACTTCTTACCATACCCGTAGGAAAATAGGTTTGACAGGGCGACATCAGCCAAAATTGTTTTGTGCCGCACTTTAGCGGTCAACGAAATCATTCGGTTGCGACGAGAACATCATGCATGTGACAAATCGCTGTCAAATTTTCGTTTCATTGACGACGTCACCATCTTTTCAAGAAGCACCATAGAAGCGGAGACGATTATCAATGAGCTCAACGACCTCGATTCTATGTTGAGCTAAGCAAGTCACCCATCCTACCGGTCTCACCAAAGTAGTTCCAGACCAATTTGTGAAGAGAGAGCCACAGGATACAAAAAATTGGTTACTAACAGTGGCGAAGTGTTGGAAATTTCCTAATGGGATAGTCCCAGGATTCCAAGGAGAATAGACACGACGAGCATTCAACAACATTCATAGACAAGATCGAAATCCTAAAACAGAAACTAAACTATTTTTCAAATCCGGAGGACAATGGGAACGGTAGATGAGATAAATTGAGTGAAAAACTGCTGAGATTCGCGCATATGGTGTCGAGTGATATAGAAAAAAATAACATGTTACTGCACCATGAATAAGGGTCAGCATTTTCAACTCCCAAGATCGGCTTTCTATTAACTTCGGCATTGGATTATAAACCTGTCGTTCTCTTTTTTACAGCAATCGCGAGGTTGTTATTCAGCACACGTTTACATCATCACAAATGTAAGACACAACACGACGGTAGCTGACGTTTCGGCAGTATCGCCTTCTTCAGAGCCTGGAAGTGTACACTAATATATAATGTACTAGGTGAAACGCTTCAACAACACAAACAGAAAGATGAACATCTGAACAATAATTGCACGATCACCGGCTTCACGAAAAACGCACCGTTTTCATCGTTTTCCACCAAGGAAAAACAGCCGCTTAGAGTCGCATATAGTTGAGTACTGCATCACCCCACATCAAAAACCAGTTCTGAGATACGGGGCTAGAGCACGCGTTACCTCAGGGCAGTCTTCTCTGCTATTCATTCTCGGATTTTTGGAATTTATCCAAAAAGCTTCGAAAAATTTGCGCGTTGGTGTTCTAGTTTCCCGTGCGATAATAGCGACTTTTACATCAAAATCTTCTCCGCTATGTTTTTGTATCCCATGCGTGTCTAGTGGCGTGCCATGTTTTGATTTTCGTTTGCCGTTTAGATGTTCTTTTATGTGGATACATAAAAGTCTGCCCGTTTCGCCGATATATTCGTTTCCGCAAGTGCTACAAGAAATCAGGTATATCGTACCTGAACTCGTGCAGTCACCGTTTCTGCCGTAAGGGCAAATTACGCAATTTGGTGTTTCACATAGATGATCATGCAACAAAATCAGCATTTCCATTTGCAAATATGGCTGCCGAGATATGAACAAAACTCGAAACCGCAGTTCGGCTTCGAACCTGGGATTATTCTTTCCGTGAGCTCACGTGCTCTCCACCACATCGACCGAGGCCACTTACATTGTGATTTTCACTTGTGCTTATTTTTATTCATAGCTTGTTTACAGAATTCATAATTCAAAGGAATGAAAGTATAAGCAGATGAAAATCAATATTCAACACAAGGCATACTTGTGAAAGCAGTAACGCAATACGTAGGTTGTTGACCTGCTCGAACATTTCAATAAAATGCACTGTTTTCTATTATATTTGTGCAAAATAAAAAGTACGGAATCTTCCCAATAATGTACCACTTCATTCCGACTGGACAATGCTCCTAGGTGTTGGATTGAAATCTGTAACAGGAGTTCATTCTCTAGTTCTCGCGGAATTTTGACATAGGCACCATAGGGTGTTATCGAGTCGTTAGCAGACAGTTGTTGGAAACCTGATTCTATGGCGTAGATGATTATTCCACTATTATTACGATTTACCCAGCACGGCAGCTATTCCTGCGATTTTCACGACTTATCGAAAAACCATAGAGCGGGGGCTGTCATTTACGCTGGGTGTTTTCACCATGCCACGAGTGATTTTACGATTTTAGTGATAGCTATTCAATGTGTCCTCTAAACAGTAGACCGCGTCATTGTGGCTGGGACGTGTTCCTGGGTGTCAGGCAGCGATGTACAACAGGGTAATTCGTCACCCCGGCAGAGCTTCCCAAGCTGAGGAGTCCGGCGTTTCCATTGGGAAGTCCAGTTAAAAGTAAACCAATACCAAGGTTCACCACCGTCTTGACATCAAACTAGTCGCATGGTGGCGAGTCTTCCTTTCATCCACAAAAGGCTGCCACTGTCTATGGTGGTGACGAGCCAGCGCAGACTTTGGCTAGGTTGACCTGGAGACTCCAAGGAACCACAACTGCTATACCAGCAAAACTCTGTAAAAACGAAAATTTTGCTGGGACCCGCACGGCAAGTGAAGACGGGCTATCCGAGTATCCAAGTAACTAAGTAAGTTTTCAGTATGTTGTGGAACACTCAACAAAGTGTACAGAAAAACACTGACACGTTAAGAGTCTAATGAAAGAAATTGTAAGAATTCGCTTCTTTCAGGTATTCGTATTCACCAGGGCGATCAACCACTAATACTTGACGGGAGTCATCTAAACGAAGCAGCCGAGCCACAAGATTATAAAGTGCTCATAGTGTCTACCTGTCTACAGAAGTACCCCTTACCTTCTCACCGCATAGTCGTTCTTTTGCAGATCTTCATTGGTACCGAGAGGTGTTACGTGACTCTCGTCGATTCGCGACAACTCGTCTGCAACGGCCCTTCTACTCAGCCCGAGGCCACAGACGACAAAGGTTTCCTATTTTTATTGAACAAATATTGACAAATGAGTGATACCATCTATATATCTGCCATGGATAAAGGACTCAGTGACTTAAGAAAATATAGAAATGGTAGTAATATGATTTTAATTGAGATACTCGCTGTACACTGTATTAAATCTTTCGTCTTTTGGTAAACTATGAGCTTATCAACTTTTATCTATATTCTTCTGGAATTCACATAACTACCATATAGTCCTTTTTAGGGCACAATGATGAATAGGGTTAAAATTAATTAATAGGGTTAATTGCGAAGAAGTAGAGAAATTTTCACTGTAGAATACACTAGAGTTTAAAGCGAAAGCATAGGCAAAGTTTATATTTTATTCTATTCTAAAAGAAATGCTTTATTTTCCTTATTTATTTCTAGGAGACGTGATCGTTGGCGGTCTGCCGTTGGTATCGGTAACAGTAGGAAGGATTCGGGTTGAGCTCGGACTAATCGAGTATGTGGATCCGATTGCTACCCTCCGTCTCTGGGTTTTGGTTAGTGAATAATTATTGAGACAACCGAAATAAAGCTCGTATATAATGCTGAGATATTTGCAAAACTCTGGGCCATCTTAACCCTGTGATTATGATTATAACTAAGCCTCAGCTTAATTGGGTTCAATGCCGATTTGGGCTCCCCAGATCAATCCCGTTGACCGGTGATTGATGATGGAAAAAAGATCGATAGAACTATCTGAGAGACAGGCAGGACGAAGGACCCGGATGGTGTGATGGTGAAGTGCGCTGCTCCCCGGTAAGGACCACAGCGCGGGTTCGTTCCCCACCGCATACAACTGCGGCCCGGAGTTTTGCAAATATTTCAGCATTATATACGAGTTAAGTTTTGCAACATACCCTGCCATTAAAAAGAAAAAGGCAGTAAATAAAAGGGTTAAGACAACCGAAATGTTCAAACGTTGTGTACTATTTGGGAAATTGCCACTTATTTGTGCTAAAACTGTTCCCCACCTAGCAAGTTTTTTTTTCGATGGAGTCAAAATTGTGAACTGATCTGATTTTCGCCAACATTTGATGGTCATCTTTGTTGTTCGTTGTTCTATGTGGGGAACCGGATCTTACAGCACGTTCTTAACACTATCACTGCTCTTAATCCGACTTTTTCAGGTGGTAGTAGCACTGACTGCACTGTCCTCGCTTCTCGTTTTGCTTGCATTTCTATGGAAGAAACGACGTCTGGAACGTGAACGAGACTATCGTAAGATCCAAATGCAGATGGAACATCTTGAGAGCAACGTCCGCAAGGAATGCAAGCAAGTACGCTTTGCTGAAGCTGGTCACTTCAAGATATGCTTGTGTTGACAACGATTGTAGGCTTTTGCTGAACTGCAAACGACGATGGATTGTTGTGGCGACGACGAGTATGAGAGTAAGTGAACAATTCTGAAGTTCTGGAAATTTGACCGAAGTCATCTACGGTCATCTGCACCTTTCTTGTAATCAGTTATTATTATATCTATCCACCACATAACGTTTCAACTTCTGCTCTATTTTGCTATTTAACAGCTCCGTTCTTTTAAGAAAATCCGTTTTCGTTAGCTCTTAAACCTGAAATTAATGTCGAAATTGGAGCTTATCTCCCATTTATTACTATTGAGTGCTTCTAAAATGTTTTTTTCAATCTTCAATCTTGGAATTGTTGAAATCTCATCAGTTTCGTCGTTTCTTAAAAGTACCAGGTTTTGGTCTAAAAATTTCTAGGATATTTGATTAGTCCTTATCAATCTAGACCTCTGTCTACTCCTGTTAATAGGGATACCACCGCTTTTAGGTACGCATTTGACGAGTTTTCCCGATTTCTTGTACCGACTTCTCTGGGAAGACAACGGTTGGCCGCATTCGCCATCTCTCTATGTTTCGACTTTGCCAGTCACTTTAGCTCAATTCGATACTCTTCTTAGCAGCAAACAGTTCATTTTCTCAGTAAGTTCGATGGTAATTCCCATTGTTCATGATACTTTCTATTCACGTCCGTCTATCAATGAATAATGAAAGTGTAATAGGAGATTAGAGCTTTTGTTTTAAAAAATAAGAAACGTTACCAATGCAGATCGTTCATCACTTCCTTTTGAGATAGTGGAAACAGCCGAGTCGGAGCCGGCGATGTCGCTCGGCGAAAGAAGCATGCTGTCTTCCTTGCTGATCGCCGTGCTGTTACGGAATTTCCAGTACTGCACGGACGTGGTGTTGTCGTTGCTCAGAGCTCACATCGCGAAAAGTGTCCATGTAAGCGCTTTGCAACTCATTTTTCTTTACCATATCATTTTTAAAAATCGTCTTTGTTAATCGTCATAGTTTTAATGCTGTCAGTCATATAGTGGCTAGCATAGTAGTATTTTTCTTAAGTTCTATTTTCATGCAATATTTTTCGCACGAACATTTTTTTGGCCTTTTAGTTAAAACATATAACATACTTGTCAGCATTAGAAGAAATCATACCCATGGGCACAGACAACGAATTATTTTCAGTTAATAAAATTTTAAATTGACTACTAACTTTTAAAAGGGCGCATGTGGCGCAATGGTCGCAGGCGTCCTGCAACACACACGTGGAATCGATCTCCGTGCCCATGACCCACCAAGCCCTCCAACTCTCCGGAGTTGGCAAATTGATACCAGACTTGTCTTCAAGGGTAGCATCTCAGGCTCGATACATTGGTAGGCCACCGCGAGTCGTTGTAAAGACTAAATATGCATTCAGTCACCTTCAACGATGTTCAATAAAGTCGAGTGCATGGCGCATCTCTCAGGGATTGATCAATGCCGAGAGCTTTATCCTTTTATTCTTTTATCGATTCAAAAGAGATCGTACGATTTCCAACGTCGATAAAATGTATTCTTTCATCGATAAGCTAGCACAAGGCTGATAAATAAATTTTATTCGGCGAACGTTTCTACGTCTTCGTCTTCCTAAGAGCTGGTGATCCGATTCAATGTCAACAGTCCTTAGTACTCTTGATGTAGCGTCTTCACCATGATATCGACTCGAATCTTCTCCAGTGGAACACCGCTCGAATAAGGAATTTTCACTCTACGATACTGTTTTATACAGGAATGTTGTTGGTGACGGTGATTGTCTGGCAGTAATGGTGACGGTCCGCTCTGTGCTAGCTGATAATGATACCTACTTCTGCAAGACGGACTGTCCAGAAAAGACAAGTTATTATTACCGTCCTGCATAAAAGAACATCGCGGGGTGAGGTTGCCTCATTCGTGCAGAGCTCCTCTTAAGAAAGCCCGAGTAGATACGACAATGAAGACACCACACCGAGAGCACAAAGTTCGACTCTACGGAGCGAAACCGTAAAGATACATTTTCAAAGTACAATTTTCGAAGATAACGCAAGAAAAATAAAGTTACAAATTCCGCATTAATTTTGGAGCAATTTAATAAGCAGGAAGTTTGAAGAAAAACAAGCCTGCAAAATGATAGTGATTCATTTCTAGGCAGGGAATGGTGACATTCTATTCCGAAAAAGTGACAGTGTCGTGGAAAAGATGGTATCGAAGTGGTTAACGATCTGCCTCTACGACGCCATATCTCAGGACCAAGTTTATAAGTACAGTACTCTCTACAAGGTGATTTCACTACATTGGTAAATAGTTCTTCCAAATTTACATACTACGGAGCCACTGTTGAGTTTTACCACTACGTCTTGTAGTTCCACTGTTTATCAACTCACTCAAACAGTGTCTCAATTCGTTCATGTCGTGCACCTGAGCCTGGGCTAAATGCTCTGAAAAAAGGACACGAAAAACAACGTACTTTCCGTATAAGACCTTTTACTTTTACATTATTTCGAGAACGCGTGCCAACGGCTGAGTTCTGTTGCAATACTGTGGTAAACCTAAAGGTACACCTACAGTTCTTACGCTCTTCGAAGTATATCCCATCCACAGTTATTTTAAATAAATCCCGAACCGACCTTCATCGAGTTTGGGTCCATTTACTTATTCCAGTTGCATTTCACAAGCACATGATAAATATTCGTTTGCACTTTAATCCCTGTCCGCTATTTAGATCTTTTGGTCTCTCAACTGAACCAGAGTTGCTACTGCAAGAGAGTTCGGAATATGTAGCTAAATTTTCTCATTTTTACCTCTGTATATCTTTTTTGAAATATCGTTCATAATTTTTTGATTGCTACGGTATTCAAAATCATCACATTTCCATACTAGGCACTGAAATATCAAACAGAAAAAGGACCTGTAGATGCTGTGACTGGCAGTGCTCGCTACACCATCAACGAATCCAAGCTTCTCCGCGAGATTGTAGACGGTTCATATGTGGTATGTTCTTATGAACATATTTCTCTGCTTGTTTTAGAGATTCTATAAGATGTCACGGTGCCAAGAATGTTTTCTGGTGGACTCGCACTATTATTGTCGTGATTTAAGAGATCTCATCGCTATTTTCAGGATTGTTTGGTGACAAGTTTTGATGGCAGTGGACCATTTACTGTGAGGGCAATCGCATGCGATACGATTTCGCAGTTGAAGCAGAAGATTCTCGATCATATCTTTAAGCGTACTCCCCACAGCCAGCGTCCAGCACTCTTCAGCTTCGATTTAGGTACGTTTTCTCTGACAATCTTCTAGTCAACGATGTTATTTGTACTTACTAAACCTTAATTAACCTTAAACACCCTAACCTTAAGCAATCACCTATCTTGTAGCCGCGTGGTCATCACGCTCCTTACTTGAGGAGATATGAACACTGCTACGCTCACTTAAAAACCTCAGTTAATTGCAGAACTCTTGTGCCCTTCGCGAGGGCGTCTGCTTTTGTCCGATTGGTCGGGATCGCCATCGATAAAAACTCCGACGAAGTTAAATAATCTCGCGCACTATGGCATATCGAATCAGTCTCATATAATAATGGTTCCTAACGAGAAGAATTCAGCGCACTATAGAGGTGAGCCACGTTTCGCATTTAGGTAAAGTCGTTCCGTAGCAAATTGTTTGTAATTTTATCCTATAACTTTAATATCATATTATTGCTCTAAATAAACCAGCATCTTTTAAAGCTTTTGTTTTCAGTGTGTAAGTTTAAAGTCATGATTGAGTGATTGCAGATTCTTTAGCGGATTCTGGCAAGTCCTCATGGACGTCGCTCGACCGCTGCAGTCCGATGTACCCACCGAGTAGATTTTTTCATCTGACCAGTCCTTCAAGAACTCTCACAATGGAACGACGAAAGAAAATCGACGAAAGCATTCCGAAATCTATTCCTGAAGTGTACTTGACTCGTCTACTAACGAGGTGAGCAGTCACAGAAAGCGCATTCATCTTTATCACTGAGTTCCTGAAGGTAAATAGAGGTAGCATAAAAACAGTTAACAACTAATAGATTTTTTCTTACAGTAAGGGCACTGTACAGAAGTATATTGAAGACTTCGTGGAGTCTGTGCTTTCTTCTGAGACCTCCGGACACACGACGATTCTGAAAAGCGTCTTCGACCTACTGGACGACGAAGCATCTCGAAATGGGGTAGTATTTGTGATCCAATACTAAAAGATATATATTCGTCCATATTTCCTTCACTGTTCTCTGTAGAGGAATTTCTCGGTTATTGAGCGTTTAGGTATCTGACCTTCAACTGATCCAGCAGTGGAAATCAAATTTATACATTCTACGGGTTTGGGTTCATCTTATCAAGAACCCGAGGATCCTTCTTGACGTATCGGAGTCCGTTAGTCAAGACGGAAATTTGTCTGTTGTTGCTCAGACGCTTGTTAGTACTTTCGCAGTTTTTTGTTTTTACGTTTTCTCCAATTTTACTTTCATAATTGGATAAATCTTTATCCCTGCTTCTTCAGATGGACTGCTTCTCATTCTCCGAGCAAACCCTGGGAGCTCATTCTCCTAGCTCTAGACTATTGTTTGCCAAGGTTTGTCTTCTTCACAAAAATTTCCAAAACATTTTTTCGGCATATCAGTCTTTTGCCATTAGTTCATTCTGTTGATATTTAGGTATGATTTTTTATCTAACCATGTTTACTTTAATTAACTAACAAGCTAAGGAATTTAACTCGATTTTGAATCTTTGCACCTGCTCGGACTAAGCAGAAGTGTTGATATATTTATTTATGTGATCTTATAAACTGATCTTCTTAAGCTGATGCGAGGTTGGTACAGATCTTCGCTGTCGTTGTTTTTGATGTTATTGATCGATGGCTGACGTTTCGGCGACTTCGTCTTCCTCAGAGCCTGGACGTACTTTATGTTAGAATACTTTTTATTATTCGGTGGAAAAGAA